AGAGGATAAAACGTTTAACTTTGCGGTACATTAAAAATCTCTACACTGTAGTTGTCATTTACTACAAAAATATTGCGTCATCAAATTAATATTCATCATATCTTAAATAATGCCATGATTATATTTGCAACATTCTCAGATTGCAATTCTGAGAGATTCAATTTTGAGACTGAAAATTTTGCACTTTCTGGAACTTCTATTAATAGTCATAGTCAAAATCTTGTGAATTGCATTTATTGAAATCTGTGCTTAATCTAAAATGTAAATCAAAAAATTAAAGTAATTTTATTCGTGTCGTTAATTCCCCAGCAATTATTTAAATTATTCGAGCACTGTGGTCATAAAAATGTTCTTAAACATTGACCAAAGACGATGCGAACTTTACGGATATATTTTAAGACATTTGCATTACGAATAAATTTTTGTTAAACAGCTTGCGATGCAGAAATTTACGCATCACACAAAAAATTCAGATAATATCTTTAAAATGGGTATAATTCACTAGAAGTCGAATTTCTTGAAAGCCTCTTCAGACAATGAACTTAACCAACTTGATAGTTAAGAATTAAAATTTTTTCGGACGGAAAGCATATCATACTTTACCTGTCGCTACTGCCTTCACGCATCAAAAGGATAGGTGGTCAATTAGCTCGGCTGACTGTGTGAATTAGATCGACGTAGAGATATACATTTTAATGAAAACAGTAGAGTTTATACAGCAACTGAACTTGAAGACTAATTTCTGTCTGTAAAGACTGTTGCGGTGTCTGTTGACTGACGGATAATAGAACTTTACAAGTGATTTCGGTCGTACCCTTTCCAGCTATATTCTTTTTGAGGTTCCATGACTTGGTGCTGGTTCAAGTCATTGTCTTGCGAAATATCTGGTTAAGAAAATTGAACACGAAGCTTATGCCAGAACGGCCCTGGCGAGCTGACAAACGTGTTTGTCGGAAACCGCTCCCACCGGCCGACCCCAGAAGTTTCGGCTGAGGGCGGTTTTCGTCTGTGATGTGAGAGCGATGTTTCCTGAAATGAGTGGTCGCCTTCACCGTTGTCGTTCCTGGAGTTATTTCGCTCGGCATGAACCTTCTGAGAACCTAACGCCCGCTGCCTCCCCCAGCGGGCTTTCACTCGAACCTCATATCGAGCTACGCTGTGAAATGTGCGCCGATTACGAAGCCAGACTTCAGCAGCTACAGGTGAGCTTAAGTTAGCTTCGTGGGAGTATTCCTATTTAAATGTTTGAGTCTTCAAGTGTCTTAATGTTACGTTTTGCTTATTTAAAGCTGTCGATGAAAACGAATGATGATTAATAAATGATTTATTCACATTTTTTTATTTCACAAGTTTAATATTTGTACTTGCAGTTTGGCGTTTAAAGGTTCATATGTGAATTTAGCAGTTCTTTTATTATGTGCGATGTTTTATTTGTTTTCTGTGTTATTTTATGAAACTGGAAAACGTTATTCCCTATGCTAATTTGTTTGTTAGTATTTGTAGCGTTATTTCGTTCACTTTGATTGACGAATGACGCGAGATCACCATCGACCATTTACAAAGTGTGGTAACACTCGATTTTCCATAATTTGTTCGCAAACCATCTTTTGATGATTCTCAGTTGGTCGAGCGCCGGTTCGCCTCAGCGTCACTCTTATGTACTCTGGAACTCTTCTGTACATTAAGCAGATTACGCATGAGAACAAGGTGAATAACTGCTGATTAAAGTAAACAAGCAACAGGAATATAAATCGTTTAGGTCATTCAACCGATCTGCAGTTTGGTAGAAGAACTAAACGATCCTTGAGATCCTGAAAGGTTCAGTGACGAGTAACCACTACTCCTGAATACAATTAGCAAGAGTGTTTGGTCTTACTTTTACCAGGTTTCTGCACAACTTAACGTTTCCAGTGAAATGTACAGTTGGAGTTAATTACGGTTGGTGGTTTTTAAGGAGTCAATTGACGGATAAACTGGAAACCAACCACCCACTGCCTTTCTGAAGTTTTAACTGACAACAGTGGTGAATGAATGTTTGTCGGTAACTAAGAGAGGCTGTTGATTTTAAAATTCTGAAAGTTATGAAGATCGTGCATAATTTGTCTGCAACCTGCATAATTTCTCATTCTCTCATCTGTAGAGTATAAAAAGAGGTCGCATCTATCCGACACGATCGGCTAGGCTATGAAGAAGTTTTCTAATTCATAGCAGTCTCGCAACGACTGTAAACAATCGCGATGGTGCCTCTCCGTCGCCTTCCCGACGATTATCAGGCAGCAGATGACTGAGAACATGAAACTCAAACAAGCTGACCGATTACGGATGAGTTTAGCGCCGCCAATTAACAGAATAATTCAGGTGGTTAAACGTTGGACTCAATATCGAAAAATTGTGCATTCGAGCTGTGACCAGATCATTCGCCTTGTATCCTTGCGAAGTGGATAAGTGAATACCACTGTGATAAAGGCAGCATGGGCTGAACGTAGAGATTGCCTTTTCAATAAGGCTGATGGCATGGAGACCGAGATCGGCACTGCACCATAGGCTACATCAAAAATGGTGGTCCTGAATTATACCCCTAATGGAAGTGTAAAGTGGATACAAAAGTGCGAGCTGTTTCCAGCTTTCTTTGTCCCTTATTGCCGATACCAAGTATTCATGATTGACGATAATGAATCGACAGGAACAGACACTAATGAACTCATCTACTGTTAGTGTCGAACGAATTGTTTCTAAGAGGAGACTAGACCCATACCATTTCATCACACTAAAAG